GGAAAAAAAAAAAAAGAAAAAGAAAGAAAAAAAAAAGGTTTTTACAGGAATTTCTCATGCAAAGACTGATTCTATTAACTCAATTGCCCCCAATCGTGTCTGTCAATCCAAAGAGTTACCTTTTATATATATAAAAAAAATGTCGCTTGGATTTTTGTTAAACCCATTGTACCCAGCCAAAATGAATGAAATCCATAAAAGATTCCATTTTGATGAATTTGACAAAAGATTTGAGAAAATTTAGTTGCATAATACCATAGCAGTTCTTAGACCATTACTACTGTAGCAAGTTTGATGCTCACTGGGTGCCCCAAACTTAAGGCCTTGTGCCACACTATGTTTAAATGGCAATACTAGAATAGTTTTCATGATACTCATCCAAGAGTATAACAAGTTGGAGAGGCAATCAGTGGATGGTTATAGTATGGATTATTATTCTAATCCAACCTTGAAATCAAATATTTTTGAAGAAATTTTTTTTATGTAAATTATAGATACATAAAGCTTAATTTGACAAGAGAATGTCTTATAAAACTAAATTTTCTTATATTTTTCAGATAAATTCTAAAAAGCTATTTTCTTTTGTTAATAAAAAAAAAGGTTAAATGAATACATTTTCTGATTTTGTTAAAATGAAACCATATATAAATTGAATTTCAAGTTTAAAACCATCAAGAATAACTGACTGACAAATTTTTGTGGGGTGGGAGGGGTTACAAATGGAGGTTGTGAGTGCACGTATGAAATGATCCAAGAAAAAAAAAGCTGTTGTCTTTAAACCAATAGGCTTTCTGGATCTAAAAAAATGTACAGTCTACTTTTGCTGATTCATTTTATTTTTTCAGAAGAAAATTATTTTGTTGTAATTTGGCAAGAATAACCATAATAAAATTGATGTTGTTGTTAATAATAATAATAATAATAATAATAATAATGATGATGATGTAAAATCAAACAAGAGACTAACAATTATTCCAATTAACACAGATCTAATATGATCAAGTGGTATGGTTGGAAAACATGGCAAGCAAATATCCCAGGGCAAATGCCTGGGCAAAATTAAAATAACTACAATCTAAAAACATTAACAGGAGTTGAAAAAGATTTCATAGTGGGGGGAAAAAAAAAAAAAAAAAAAAAAAGCAAAAACATTTCAGAACAGATAAGAAAACAAATTTAAAAGTTTGTATTTTTTTTGTATAGATACAGGGTTTATTGTAAAATCTGATATGAGATTTTACAAAGAATTGATGGGATACTAATAAAAATGGAATTGAAATTAAAATGTTAAAATAAAAAAAATGTGAGAAGATTGATTAAAAAAAAATCCTGAATAAAAAAAAAAAAAAAAATACAACAAATTTTACAAGATTTGAATTTTGAATTTCAATTTCCTCCAATCAAAAATATTGAATTTCAATTTCCTCCAATCAAAAATGGTGTTTTGGGATGAAACATCAGAAAATGGTTTCAGCAGACAATATGATTTATTTGTAAGGAGTTCACAGAAAGAGGTGAAATTATTATAAAGGAGTCAAACTGACCAGTTATTTTATTCTCAAAAACTGTCTCCAACCTGGTTTTATCTCATTTTTTTGTCCCTATTTTTTTTTTCTTTCTCAACATTTTTTTTTTCAAAGATAAGGAGGATCTTAAACACTGCAGCACAGCCACCCCTGCCCGAATTTAAATTACAAAAGAACTCCCTGAGACAAAAATCGAACAGGGACAGTGTGAGGTAGTCTTTCCAGTAATATACAACATCAGTTAACAGAAAAGGATAGGAAAAGAAAAAAAATAAAGGGGGGGAGAAACACAAAGCACCAACGTACATCATTACATGACTATGAAATGGTTTAAATACTGTCAAAATAACTTGGAATACATGGCTACTAACATAAGCTATCCATATTTAAGGGCCACAAAAAAAGAGTCATGACAATATTACAATAAACATGTTTTCTTTTCTTTTCATTTTTTTTAGTTGGCTTAACCTAAAGAGGGTAAAATTCAAATCTATTACTTTATCCTCAAAAAAGGAATATTCTAAATAAAAGATTAAAAAAATATAAAATAAAAACTTTAAAATGACACTATGAAAACAGGCGAGACCATGAGTAGGTATCTGTTAGTGTGGAGAAAAGTAGAAAAAAAGCTGCCAAATGAATTTTTCTCTTGGTTTTCTATAGAATTATGGAGTCATTACAGTAAATAAAAAGGCCTAGTACTGATGACAGATACAGAGTAAAACCATAGGGAATTATGTGTGTGTGTGTGTGTGTATGTACACACACACTTAGAAGCAACAACAGGCAAGGATTATGCAGTCATTGTGGAACATAGGCCCAGGAATGGCAACAGTAACACTAAGTAGAAAGAATTAATACCTGAGAATTAGCAACATTTGTACAAAACATGGAATTATCTGATTACATGTATGCTTGTATAAGAGAGAGAAATTTCAGTTTTTGCATGAGGAAGCAAATGAACTTTTTAGTCTAAACAAATTTTAATCTTTCATACATGACTGAGATACACTGATAAAGAATTATTTTAATACTGAAAATCATTGATTAAAACTTTTCAGAATGTATGATTTACTGAGTTTATTTCTAGCATAGGGTTTATGATTTGTGCTAGGCAGAGAAAATGGTCCAACAAAAGAAAAGACATTTAACCTCAACTGTGAATTAACTTTTGTTACAGCCAGTTTTCAAAATAATCAAAATCTTTTATTTCATGTATTAAAGAAAATTACCACATTTCCCACTTTATAATATTAATCATAAATTCACCATGAAATATGTCGGAAAAAGATGGCATCTATTTTCATTTTAAAGTTGCTTAGATTATTAAACCCAAGTGATTCATAGATCCCAGGCAGGGTGATTAAAGGTTGGGGATTGTGTCTTAAGTGCTGAAAAATATAGGAAGTGATATTTATGCACTCTTCTGTAGGAATTTCTTTCATATTTTATAATGTCAGAAGATTAAAAAATAAATAAATAGAAAAAAGTCAATTTGTTTCAAGACGGGACAGAATCTATGACATTTTTATTAAAAAACAAAAATTATCATTTATAAACATTTTTATAAAAATTATATATTTAATTTATTTAAAAAAAAAAAAAAAAAATCAAAAAGATAGCTTTCTCATTAGTAACAATTTCAGCAGGAATAACAAAGTTAACTTTAATAAAATTGTAGTAAAATGTAATTTGTATGATGCGTTAAATCATTTGTAATTTATGGAGAAGATATTAAAGTAGGACCTTGTAAATAAAGTGAAAGGCATTTATGTACACTGCTTTTAATCTATTGTGAGGAAAATGTAGATTTATTTAAGGTTTGCAAATCTTCAAAGAACTTGTTGCTAAAGAAAACAGAGTAAGAATTACAGAAAAAAATGCATTTTGAAAGTTTTTGTACCAAAGGAATGCAAGTTGTGGGCCAAAATTAGAATAAAATTAATAGCTGTTTATTAGAGCCAATCAATCAAGATAGCAATGAATAACAATCCTAATGGGAAATATGGATTTTCAATTACAGTCAAATATTCTGAGTCATAACGTGTGAACCAGTATAGGAGACATTAATAAATGTGTAACATCAAATAGTAAACAAATAAGAAATGTATCTCCATTTGTTTTGAAAAGAAAAAGAAAATATTAAAAAATGATGGATTTTTTTACTGGCTACTTTCAGATTTAAAAAAAAATAAAGTCTGGATTTTAGCATATGTGTAAGCTAAATGAATATAAAAACCCATCTTGGAAGGCGATAAAGTTTTGAAATTCTTTTCTTTTTTTAATCATTTCACCCTTAAGCAAGGCAATAAAGCCACTAAGATGCAAGGGGGGGGGTTCTATTTGAAAATTTCTAAGACTGAACAGAAACTCATCTGTCAATTTAAAACTAATAAAAAAAATTGTAATTTATTTACCGCATAAAATAAATGAATTTTATACTTGCCTCTGCAGGTTATTATAATATCTTGATTAAAAAATAATCAAGTTTCGTAAGTTAAACTAGTATTTTATACCATGCTTTGTACAAATGTAGAGATAAGTTGACTCCAAAAATATAAAATAGAGAAAAATTACAGAGTCATATTGATAATTAAAAAAGAAAACAAAACAAAAAACAAACCTTTTCCCCACACACAAAAAAAAAATCATAAGTACTAAAACAGAATTAATTAAACAAATTTAAGAAGTGATGAGAAATTTAACTTTCAGGTTTTGTGAAAAAAATTATAATTTTCCTTTTTTTTCTTTAAAAAAGCGAGAAACAAATAGACTGACACTAAAGCTGTGGCCCTGTAAATTGTTTCTTTCCATTACTGATTATAAAAGAAGGTGCAAATAAACAAGGACAAATTGTTATATACACTCAAGCTGTAATAATTTACAGCTAGGGTGGGTTGGGGGTTGGTGGTTGATTAAAAAAAAAAAAAAAAAAAAAGAAAAAGAAAGGAGAGCCATGCTTGCCCAGACAAAATAGTAATAAAAACGGTTAACACTAAAGAGTGTCTTTTCTAACTGAATACTAATTGTAAGTAAATCTGGTAGGCTTGGCTGTAAATACTTTCTCTCCTATAGTAGCAATTTTTTTCTTTTCTTTCCTCTGTTTATTTTATGTACTATCAAAAGTGTGGGGTTGGGAAAAGGGGCTCAGCCCATATATTCATGGTATTTCCTCATTTTGCTAAATACCTTTTCTTATAAAAAAAAAAAAAAATATTAATTTTGTCTTGTATTTTTTTTTTTTTTTTTGTCTCAGCATTCCATACCAGGGAGGGGTGAGTCGTGATTGAATAATTATATACATATATATATAAAAAAAAAAAAAAATACCCGCATCTGTGGGAGAGGTTTAGTTGGTTTACCCTTAGAGTAAAGGCAATGACCATCACCTTTCTCACTTGGAGGAGGAGGAGGAGGAAGGTGGGAGGCAGGGGCTGGGAGGGGTTAATAAACCAACCAACTCCACATTGATTTTTACACTACACCCTGATCCACCCCAACTGCCAAGTCCTGATTTTTGAGTGGTAAGCATGTTACACTTGGTATTGCTTGTTCAATGCTTCCACTACTCTTGCTAAGGTCATTGTTCTCAGCAGTGGTGGTGGCCCAAGGAGCACCCTCCTTTCCATTGATAGCTGTCTGGTTTTCTTTGGTTTGGACAACATCAGAAATACTGTTGCCAATGCCGTCGTCACTTATTAAGTCACAGCTCTGCTGTAATGGTGCTTTCTGAACAAACTCAGTTGGCCTTGGTTTTGGTGAGGTATTTTTTGGGTCTGATTTAATACCAGAGCCAATTTTGCCTTGTGGGCAGTTGGTTGAAATGTCATCAGAAGACTTGCTAGTGGTGATGCTTGTTGAAGATGGGACCAGTGTTGTTGACAGAGGAGGTACTGTGGCAGTGTTTGAAGCGATAATGCTGTCACCCTTCGTATGACGACCTGAGGTAGTAGTAGTAGTAGTAGTAGTAGAAGTAGTAGAAGAAACAGGATGTTGATTGGTACTGTTTGGATGAAGTGTCCGTATGGAAGAGTGTTGCTTTTGGTCACCATGTGGACTTCTGTTGATGGCTGAACAATTGCTTGGGGTGACATCTTGAGGAAGAGACGAAGAAGATTGTGCACTTGTTTCAGGAAAAGGTGAAGAGACTGACGACAATGATGATAACTGATTTTCCCCATTTCTGGGGTGAGAACAAGAACTATTTGCCCTGCCATGATGAGATCCTTCCATTGCAGAAAGGAAACTTGAGGTAACAGGTTGTACATTACAGGAGCCAGGTCCGTTTCCCATGGGAAGGCTCCCTGTATTGTCACTGTTCAGTGTTACTGAATTAGAGAGATTGCAACCAGATGTTATGGGAATAACTGATGAGCTACACAAGTTGGTGCCATTCATACCAGTTGCATCTTTGTCCAAATTGGACAAATCTGGGCTATATTCATCAAGTTCTAGCCTGGACTCAAGTTTGCTGTCTTTACTAATGTTTTGCGAGGTAGACTCTTTCAAGTGAGGTTGGCTTTTATGCTTTTTATTTCCAGACAATAGAGGCTCCATTTGTTCTGATCCCTGATTGAAAAAACAAAAGTTGAAATATAAGAAGACAACAATGCAAAATAACCATATGCAAATGTACAGATTGAAGAAGTTAAACGTTTTGATAGGAAAATTACAATATTTTTTCATTGATGTTTCCAGTATTTCTGGTGATATTTTTTATGATCAAAGCAAGAAACGAAAAAAAAAAATATAAAAAAAAATCAAATTATAAATTTCTTTATAAAAATAAAAACAAGATATGACTAAAAAAGAAGAAATAAAAACGGAAGAAAAAAGGAAAAAGATGAAAAAAAGATAAAGAAAGAGGCAAAAAAAGTGATGGAAAAAAAAAGAAAAATAAAGAGGAAAAATTAAGAAATTAAAACAAGAAAAAAAGGATTTGAATAAAATTGATTATAATTTTAAAAGATTATAAGTTATTGATTTGCTAAATAAAAGTGACAGAGTAGGAGCTTGTGTTGAACATTGTGAGTTAAATTTTAAAAAATAAAATAAAATAAAAACAAAAAGAAACATTTGTTACAAACAGCTGCAATATTTTCTTTTTTATCTAAGACATGGAAAACCATTTAATGAAAATATTTTAAAGTAAAGCAAATTGTGAAGTAATATTCATTATTTCCAAGAAAAATTTCAGCTAACACAATATTGCAGAAGAGTTGAATTATTCTTTTGCAATATGAAAACAAACATTAAACAATGACATAAATCCATTAAAAATTGACGAGATGAACATTGTCGTTACATGGAATTCAGATGACATGTCATAAAAATAGACAATGATAAAAGAGCACATGCTTGCAATGATTGTTGATGAAGATTAATCAAAACTGATTTATCTATTAATTACATATTTCTTTTAAAAATATTTAAACTTGTTTACAAAGAGTTTTAAATTTAGATTTCTGTTATAAGTGACTTCCTTTAATTTTATCAATACATATACACAAGTTTAATTGCCTTTCATTCTCTGGATATACAAGCAATAGACAAACATGGCCATTGCTTTTACTGTGTCCACCGGTAAGACAGATGTAACAGTTTTCAAACCTTTGAGGATTAACCATGAATATTAATTGGTTTTGTTTTCATTTCTTTTTTTCATTTTTTCTGTCAAACCAATTTTATGTTTTGGAGCATGAGAATATGGTTTTGAAATACAGCTTTGTCGAAATTTCTTTTTTCTTTTTGTGTAAAAATGAAACAAATAAAAAGAAAACTTAAAATGTTGAAAAAGATGAAATTAAAATTATGGATAACAATTAGACTATTATGGATTAACACAAAGCCACAAAAATTGTGTACCCAGTGCAGGTTTCATTCACCTGAGCAAATCAGCCTTCTTAGTCAAGCTTGTTTATAGTTACCCCCCACTCCCCTCTACAGCATTCATTATCCTGATAGCAACAAAGTACTCAGTGAGAGCTGAACTTATGAAATGGACAAATTGATCTGCAAGACATGGCAGATGCTGAAAATGATTTCAATAGAAACTGAAGAGAAAATTATCAGATATTTGGAAAAAATTAAATCTCAAAATAATAAAGAACATGACAGAGGAACAAAATAAAAACATCTGTGGCACTCAAGGCATTTTAAACTAACATACTTAAAGCTTCCTTGCCTAATGTTACCCTTCTTTTAAGTTATCAAAAAATTCTATCAAATTAAAAAAAAAAAACATATATATAAAAAAAAAAAATTAAATTTAACAAAATGATTTCAAGTTTATAACTAGGCACATTAAAATATTTATTATTATTAAAAAATAATGATTATGATGATAAAATCATCATCCCTGCTACTATCATAGAATTCCTGCTTTCAACATATGAACAATTAATGATGTGAAGTTCTAGCATTGCAGTTCTCATAACACAATTGCAAGGGACAGAAATTTCTGCCACAGTTAATGGATCAATAATGAAAATGGTAAAATATGAATCCTTGTATGAAGAAGAAAAAAAAAAAAAAAAAAAAGGTGGCATATTAGAATAAAAGCAGTACTTATAGTTGTTGTTGTACTTGGAAATATCCCAAAGATACTTGCAAGGAAGGTGGAAAGATGTGAGAAATGACTGAAATCTAAAAGAATATCGATTTTGATTGCTGGAGAACTGAGGATTTTTTTTTATCACTGCATTTCCCTGCAATGATGGCTGGATAATTATGATGCAAAGATACACAATAATAATGGGTTGTGAGATAAAGAAAAAGCTTACATTACTTGTAAATTTGTGTATATGCATTTATAGAATTAAAGTGTCATTTAAATAAAAAAATTACTATAAAAAAAATAATTTTATTCTTTCAGGTTGACAATATTTTAAGCATTTCCTCAAGAATAAGAGTGATATTATAAAAATAGATTTTATAAAAATAAATATATATATATATATATATATATATATATATATATATATATATATATATATATAAGATAAAAGAAACTTCTGAAAGTTTTACTGATGATAAAAAAATTATGTCTGTCAAGGAGAAATTACCTGAAACCAATTTAAGCGGTTTAATCAGTCAGTTCTTCAGACAACTTTTTCAATACCTCAACAGAAGTGTTCGTTATTTTGGTAAAACTTCAGATGAGCTTTTGTACAATTTATAATTAAAACAAAAACAGTTCTGCAGATACGAGTTGTTTTTTTTTTTTTTTAGTTTGTGCTCCAACATGGTGTGACAAATAAAAATGCATGCTTAGAAGGCATGAAAATAAGGTTAGATTTTAATTAGAATAATTGCTGCATGTTTCAAAATCACAAGTAAAAAAAGAAATCCATTAAGTGCCATGCAAAATAAGCAAGAAATGAAAGAAAACAATAAATTGAAAACTATAAAGAGACTTTCAAAATATTAAAGGAATGAATGAAAAATTGTTTTCGAGAACCACATTGAGCCTTTCACATGTGTGTGTGTGAGAGAGAGAGAGAGAGAGAGATAAAAAAGACTTGCTCAAAGTATCTTTTGTATAATTTTGATGGTTATGTGTTTAGGTTTCTGGGAGAGAAAAAAAAACATCAGGTTCATGTGTTGAGCCAAAGAAATTCTGTGGCATTCAGGCTTAAAGAAGTTAGATATAGAAACATAAATAACTAAAAACGTTTATTTAACAAGTGTGTACATCATACACATATTGTAAGTTTTGATACAATGAGATAAACATTTGAGAAATATTTAGATAAATATTTAGATAAAGATTTTAATTTATCAAATAATTGACTGTTAGCAATTGTTTCAGCGGATTTCAAATTGATATTTGGTAGTTGAATAAATTAAATAAAACTGTAGATATAGACTTAAGTAAAGAGAGCACATTAGACTTGCTTTGCAGTCTGTCTAGGAGAAGGATTGCTGATCTTAAAACCGGGGTAGATGGAACTCTTTAGTCAGTCACCTTAATTACAATCTTTCGTGGCCAACTGCTTCATCCTTGTGATGAGGGCGGATGAACTGCGACTTGGTAGTCAGCATCCAAGTAATGATCAGAAGAGGATTCAGGGAAACATCAATGTCACTCCTTCTCCCCTGACGAGAATCATGGACATAGGATATGAGGATGGTGCAATGAGATTACAGAATGGGAAATTGAAGAGCAGAGTTCAAATTTCAGCTTCCATTACATTCACTTCCTTATGCCCAAATACCTTTGAGAAAGCTTCTCCCCACAGCTATGGGTTAAATCATAGGGAAGATTGCACTCTTTAGCTGTGGTTGGCAACTGTCTAGAAGGAAAACTCTGAATTTTAAACTGTTACAATGGTCCATGATCCTTGACCCCTCAGCAATGAGGATGAGAAAAAGCAAGCTTATAAGTAAGCAGCAGATATAGAATGTTTAATTGGATTAAAAAAAAAAAGAAAAAAAAGTCCGCAGTCTGAGTTCCATTATTTGTCAAATAAAATAAGTATCAATTTGGTATTCTATTTTAATTGGTAGAAAACAACATCCGTTTCGTGATCTGATCATTGACCGAGCTGGAACAATGAGAACCAAAAATAGTCGTAATTACCTGCACTGTTTCACCCTTTTCTCCATTTCCTTCACCTCTGCCGCCTCCATTGTTTCCCACCATACCTTTTTCAAGGCAGGCAGATATAAAGCCGGTTGCATGTCCATTGGGGACATGGCCATTTAGGCCACTGGTCATCTGGAAACCATTGATAAGTGTACCACTGGAAGTAAAGATCAAACTCCCTCCACCCTATGAAAATAACACAAACAGGGAATTAGTTACATGTTTGGTTTGTCAGCTGTTGGCTCTTATATACAAGTAATGAGACATTTAAAAAGAATTTATGAAAATTTCTAAGGTAGGTAAGGAATCTCCTGGCATTGAGAAGTCATTAGTTTCCTTATGTATACTAGCAGAACTTTTATCACTGATGAAGATAGGTTTCAAATTCAGTTCATGGAAAATAGTTCAGATTAACCAACACCATAAAATAATTAAAAAAAAAATTCTTGGCTCAAAATGGGGAGATCCTCCAAAAATTGGAAAATCTAAGTCCTTTTTACAAATGATTTAAAATAAAAATAAATATTTTTGTCTCAAACTAATATCCTCATCTTTGTTATCACGTTTCAAACATTGTGCCCTCCAGCCTTCATCAGGTCTGTTAGACAAGAGATTTTATGAGTACTTGCTCTCCAGCAATCTATCAAATAAAGTCTGAACCAACAGATGTACACTTAACTCAATCTTTGGATGAAAATAGTGATGCACAGACAAAGGACATAATGTATAGCTGTCCACAGAAATCAACAGAAGTATTATTGTGGTAGAAAATATAGAGGCAATAGATCAGTAAAAAAAAAAAAGGTCAAAGCCATACTAATTATCAAAAGGATAAACCCAAGAAACAAAATCCTCTTGGGCCTGATGGTAAACCCTTTAGATGTGCTATTTGTGAATCTACTATGTACTGGGCTAAAAATTGTCAACATGCCTTTGACAAAGGAACATTTTTTCTATTTGTTGAAGTGCTGTCACTATTTAT